CATCTCCCAGGATAACCTATACAGCTGATGCAAAGCCACAAAGTCATTTTTTTTTAGGGACTTAAGAAGGTGTTGCCGTGATCGTATAAGACTGCAATGGTTTTCTCATATGGTATTGTCAGTAACGAAGCTTAGAGCTGATCTGTTTTGTTGGTAGTCTTTTTTGAGGACCCCCTGAAGGACAGCTTTCTGGGCTGATTCATAGTCCTTTGTTCTCGCTTTTCCACTACTTCAGAAGGTGCTGACTAAAATGATGAAAGACATACCAGACATGAGCCTGCTGCGGGTTTTGTGTTGGCCATCCAGACGGTGGTTTCGCTTGATACCGCAGTTCTTCACAGATATTCTCAGACCCTGAGGGTTAGGACCAAATGACTCAGGCAGCAAAGAAGAGAAGTCAACCTGGCAAAGGGTAAGGAGCTGTCTCTGAAAAACGCTGATATCATATTTTATGCTATGTCCCATAGTCTTAATGCTTAATTTCAGGCTTTCATTGTTTTTTTATATCCGAAGCTTAGGAGGAGTAGACGGTGATCTTGGGACATATTTTTATTTGTGAAAGTTTCCTTCTGCACACAATATTAGTGTCTACCATTGGCATAGACAGAGAAGGGTTAAAGTTTTATTTTAAATATAAAAATCTGATACATGCACTCTGCTATGTTTACATGGTAATTGTACTTACTCTTGATGAAATTTAACTTGAAAGGCTAAAAAGAAAAAAACCCCAAATGCCAGATGTGCTAACTGCTTCAGTGGTGTCTACTTGAAAACAGCTATGTATGGCCGTAAGCTTTGTTCACAAGACACTGTAGTAACAGTTATTTTGATGCAGGGCTGTTTTGCTTTATTGGATTTCAGCTTCAAAATACTGTTTGTTATTGCCTTAAAAAGAAACATAATTATTTGTGACCATAACCAAAATGAATCCCTTACAAACAGTAGCAGCCAGCTGGTACTGGATCTTAAAATTGTTATAAATTGAGATTTCCAATTATTTTGGCAAAAGCCCAAGGGAGTCTTATTTTTGTTATATGCTACTCTGTTTGGGGGGAATTCGTATGGATGCATTCCATCTCCAATAAAAATTTATATTATGCTGCAGGTGTACAGCACACACAACTAATAAAATAAAAATCAAAGCCTCACAGGTTTCAGCCACTGCCCATTTTTCATGGCTTAAAATGCTGGCAGACAGTCTTATGTTCTAAAGCAGCGTTGGGCAGGGTGTCCCATTCACTTGCATAGAAAGAAGTGACCCGTTTTAGCCAAGGAGCAGAGACTTTTCCCGTTGACAGTCTCCCCCCTTCCTTTTCCCACAGCCCCAAGGAAGGGCCTTGCTGCGCCACATGTGAGGAGGTGACAGGAGCCCGACCTCCAGCACCACCGAGCTGAGTGCTGTAGAGAAATTGGGGTACAAGAAGTCGTTCCTGACCCAGTCAGACCCACAGCTTCCTGAAAGGCCGAGGCTGTGAGGACAACTTGGCTTACTCCTGGGAAAGGTGGGAACTCCATTTCTCTATCTATCTCCCTTGGAAAATCACGTTTATCTGAGTAGTTCCTAACTTCTGAGTTAAGATAGTGAAAAAGAGCTCTCCGCTTTCCTTGGAGGGGAGGGACATTTATTTTGCAAATTGTTATTTTCTCTCCTCTTTTCACCAGTCTTCCCTATTGTCTGCTTCCATGCCCAATACCAAGAGAGATACAGACACAAGCTTTCAAAAACATTTAAGAAAACTATAATACTGTGAGCATATATTATTTACAAAATACTCAACCAGAAACTGCAACTTAGCCAGAATTTTAAGAAGGAGGTTGAGTGGGTACCTGGGTTGAGTACTTGACTAAGTGCACAAAATTGGTAATAAAACAGCCTGTGAGTGTAAAAGAAACTTATAACGGTGCCTTTACTGCTAGCTAATTCATATTCCATGCTTGACTTTTCCAAATTTCTTTAAGTTTTCATTTATTGCTTCATTGACATGATCCACTTCCAATGAAATAATTTAGGTTAAGAATTCAACAGCAAAAACTTTTCAGGTATTTGACGTATTTTCTTTCTTAACATATTGTTTAGCAAAGCAAATATGATAAAAATATGGCTACTTTCTCTGGACAAATGTCACACAGGTAACTGAAGTGGGACTGGCCATTATCAGACGTGGGAAAGCACAGGTTATGAAAGCATTCTGGAAAAGCGTTGCTTCCGTGGCCCTGCAGCAGAGAATTAACAGAATGACCCCGACCTCAGCACCAAGACTGAGAGATGGCATAGTCTGTGAATCATGGGGAGCTGCAAGGGAATTTTACTGTTAAAAAGGTTTTCTATGCAAAGCCTTGGAAAAATGTCCTTCCTCCATCTCAGCAGGGTGGAGCCTGGGAACTGATAAGAGCAGCAAGGGAAAAGCAATCTCTGGAGTCATGAGAGGAAAAGGGAAAGGAGGGGCAGAATTAGTGACTTTCACCTCCTTCAAAAAAAGGCCTGTGAAGATTGTGTTGGAATAGCAGAGGGGAAAACGGAGAAGCAGAAATCTCTTCTCTATTGCTTTATCAGTGGTGCCAGTAAGGAACTGCGGATCTCTCCCATCATGGAAGCAAAGCCTCCAGTGCACACAGTATCTGGCACAGAAAGCTGCTGCTTCCTCTTCTTGGAGGCCTGCAATAAAGCCGCATTTGACCTGTGTTTTCCAGATGCTATGGTTGTGGCTACTGTCTCATCCAGGACATTGGGTGCCCATTTTTCCCTTCAGGGGAGGATCTCCCTAACGCTTTTCCATACTCCTCACAGCACTCTGGTCTGTGAGGCCTGGTTTTGGATGATGAAGAAGGAAAAGTGGTTTAAAAATCTGGCACTGATAATTTTGTCAGAGCTTCTGGCTGGTATTTGGTGTGGGGCTGCCCTCCCACCCAAAAGACTAGCTTTCTAGCGCCACCTTGAAACAAGGAAGAGCAATGGTTGAATGCTGGCAGCTGGAGTAAGGCAATTTGTATTTTCACAGACTATAGAGTTCCTTGTTCCTCTTCTAGCAAAGAGTGGGAAGCCTTTGGGGTTCACCAGATTACAGGCCATAGAGCGAATAGAGTTGTCTGGCATGGAGACCACTTAATGCGGTAGTGTACTTGTTTGCTAAAGCTCTTGAGACGTAAAGTTTATATTCACAGCTCCTTAAAATTTTGAAATCTAAAGTGGTAAACAATCGGAATAATAAACATTTGAAATATATTTAATCTAGTGTATTCACTTGAAGAATTTAAGTAGTATTATGTATACTAATGTACATTATGTATACTAATTTAAGCAGCATTATGTATACTAATTTAAACAGCTTGCATTCAATCAAGATCCAGTAAAGCTACCTACTACATAAACCAAGCTACCCCCAAGCAAAGAAGTGTGGCTTTAACATACAAGTTTTCTCCTAGCCCTGACAACAGAAAAAAGACGATTTCTTTGTGTGTTGATGAAAACAAGCATAACCTCTATCTGGCCAAACCCAGGTGTACTTTAGTGAAACTTATGTTCTCACTTCTCTCTTTCTTTTCCTTCCTGTTACATACCCACACATAAGTCCTTCATTCACTCCTCTGAATTTTCCCCTTATTCATTAATACGTAATCTGATCATTATTCAATCTAACAGGGACACAGAGCCAAATCTGACCTTAAAACATTTGATTGTAGGTCTTCTTGTAAAATATATAAGATTTACCAACAGCTGCAGTGATTCTACAACAAATACGTCAGTGTAGCAGAAAAATGAAACACAAGTTTGTTTAAGCAAATCCAATAAAGTTATCATGGGGAACTGAAGGAAGTGGGTCACCAGTTTCCTGATAATTTTTACCACAGTCCATAGATAAGAGAACTGGAATGGAGGCCCCCCGCCCCCTTTCTTCCACAGTTTATCACACAGTTAATGCAGAAAGACAAATTGTTGTAGGGTAAACTCTGATGTCATACACTAGCTTTGTCACTTGAACATCTGTGTAAGAATATATATAAAGATGTAGAATTTTGGGCAAACACATGATGTTTAAGATTCTTCAAGAAAGAAAGGAGAAAAAGGTGAAGATTCCTTTAAGGCAGATGTTCTGAAGGCAAAGAAGTTGATGTTCTAAGTCTTTAAAAGTAGTTCCTAATGCGCAGAAGCATTTAGGCAATTAGCACCCATTGGTTTCAAGGTCTGAAACAAAGAAAAAGCTGGCCTACTGGCTCTGGACTTTGAAATGCTGTTCTTTGCTGTCGCATGTGTATGGTACAGGTATCTTCAATAGACAACTGTAACTAGGCAGAACTGGTTCTGGTGCCAATAGTGAATTACAGAGTCTAACATTTACAGTGGTGACTTTCTCCTCCTGTTTGCTTGCTGAGCTGTCACATGCGGAGGCAGGCAGCATGTTCATCCCATTATATGCTACAGAGCAGTCAGGTAGTCTAGAAACAGTTTTAATAAAATGACAGTAGTGCCTAATGATATCGTTCGAGTTGGAGATCCTGAAACCACTTCTGGCAGTAAATTGTTGCTTCCCGAGTAGAAATGAGCCTGCAACTTGTAAGTGGATGGATCTATTTCATCCTAAGTCATCCACAGAAAGATGACATAAGCTGTGCATGTATCTTATTTTTGGATAGCTAAGGCAGGGGTACTGCTTAATTTCATTGGGAATGTCTTCCATGGACATTCTCAGAGACATCTAATATAATGCTAGCAAGGCTTAATTAAGGGATAGAAAGCCTCACTGAAACGTAATCTACCTATTATGTTTTTGCTTTTCAATAATGCTGATTTTATGAACTGTATTTAGAGAAATCTAATAGGAGCAGCGCTCCGTGGTGAAGGTAGAGGGTTTTGAACTGTAAGCAGAATTTTTTTGATTCCTCCAAGTTATAGGTCCCATAGCATGCCCAGTTGGAGCAGGCTGAGGAGCTCTTCTGGTGGTTCTTCCCTTCCTGCTGAGAAAATACATCAGGTTAAACAACTTGGCAGCAATAGCCTTCTTTCACTGAGTTTGGAGGGTTTTTAAGGTTCCACAGTCCTTACAGGGGAAGTGTATCAGAGAACAAGGCCGCCAGCAGCGGAGCAAAATTCCCCCAGGACCTCAGGCATTTTAGCTATAGCTAAGCTGGGTAATCACCTCTAAGAAGACAGTCCCATTGTTCCTATTAATGTGCCTCCACCTGAGTTGAGTACGATTGCACTTCTTGGGAAACTGGAGCCCTCATTAGAACTCAGGGCCCCTTCCCTGGTTCTTTAGATCTTCACCTGATCCCATTAATTTGTATAAATTCCAGATCTATGGAGACTAGTGGTGGCCTTTCCATGGGGAAACAAACTGTTCCATTTGTAAGGAATAAATAGTGAAAAAAGTATGACATGAACCTTGCTGAGATTTCCCCTTCATTAACCCTGTCTACTGTTTTTTCCACAAGGCTCCACATGGTTTTGATTTCAAATCTTCAAAATATATTTTATGTTCTTTCCTTGGCCTCCTTAGCATGACTTTATTTTGCAAAGCAGAAAATATTTTCTAGGTTTATGTCTTTGTCAGTAGCTTGAAGTGGGGGAAGTCCTCTTTAAAAGAGCCTAGTGCTTGTAGGAAGAGGAGCTTGTTTCTGCTCTTTTTCTAATACAAAATGACTCTTCTTTCTACTTATGGCCAGGAATTTGCATGTTTTTGTCTGTTGTAATTTTCTGCATTGCTCTGTTTTCTTTGCTTAAACCTTCCTTCCTCCCATGTTTTGTGACTTGGTAACAATGACTGCAACTAACCTGTCACACAAATCTCTGTGTAGGCCCAGTTAGTGGTGTCACACACCTCAGGCTCAAGGAAGATTTTCTCCCAAAAGGAAGACAAGCCTTCCTTGGGCTGCTGGGAAACTTCCCGGGACCCCAGAGCAGAGCAAAGTCACTGGAGGCTATTGGGAGATTTGCTTGACAGGGCAAAACTGTGTCATAAAACTGCCTTTACGTTCCTCTGCTGTCTCAGCCGTTGTGTCCTGGTATAGGGAATGTAGTGGGAAACAGCAGTCACCACAGGCCACTCCATACAAGCTATTCTTGGCTGTCAGAAATGTCCCTGAGGCTGCCTTTGGTCAGGCTGAGGCCTGAAATAGTCCTTCACTCCTCGGAGGTTTAAGCAACAGCAGGGTTTGTGTGCAGCCCACTACTTCCCCTCCTGTTTCACACCCAAAGGAGCTGAAGTGGACCAGAAATAATGGTGCCCCGTCAGTTTTGAGCATCTTGCCTTTAGATGGAAGAGATGAACTCATACTGAGTGAGCAATCTCAAAAGTCAGAGATCCTGAATTTATGCCTTTAGCACTCATGGATGACAGTACGTTTAGGGTAATTTTGTGGATCCATTTCTGCGGTTAGGAAAGTCTGAAGCAGGCTAGGGTAATCTGAAAACAGCCTACGGATGTGCTGTCGGGAGGCGAGTGGAAGCTAAGATTTTATTTGGAAGAGAAAAAAATGATGAAAGCAAGTATGAGCCAAGACATAAAGTCTCATTTTGCTCCCATGTGCTAGTGCTTGAGCAGACTATTGTTCTGGACTCAGAGACTGGTTCTTAATTATGTTGAGCGGTGAATGTTTTGAATTACGGCCCCATAGTTTGGTGAGCACAAGCCTGTTAAGAATTTTGGCTGGAGAACAGCTGCAGGGTTGCTTTGAGCTCACAGAAGGTGGCTGTTGCTTGAGGTATTTTCAGGAGTTAAGAGGCGTACACTCTGCCACCTGAAGTCCCATGTTTGAATACTTTATCTAAATCTGCCCTTGTCTTTATTCTGCTATTTCAATCTAAAATAAAACATCTTGTATTTATTGTATCATCACATTTAGACACTACCATTTTGGAATCTCCTGTGGACATCATCAGATCCAGATGTTTTCAGATGTCATCATCCATACATGAAATGATTACAAATGGAGATATATTTCTGTGAGCTGTTGCTACTCAGCAAAGATTGCCAGTTTCCACTGGCTTGGAGGAGACTTATTTCTAACAGGGTGGGGATGGCCTCAAGTTTAATACTGGAGATTTTTAAATTACATATATTGTTGCATGAAGCACAAGTGGTTGCAGTCTCTGTTCACTTGTAAATTTGGAGTGATTTCCAAAGAGGTTACTAATTTTAACACATGTAGGATGATTTTAATGTTGGGATTACACACTCTGATTACCTATCTCTATCTGTAAAAAGTGTAATGTGAGTTCGTTATGTACTGCGATCAAGATATTAAAAATACTGTTCATTTC